ACTAGAAGCTTCTGATTTTTAAGAAAATAACAAATGTGACTGTCCCTTGGACCTCAGGCTAAATCTCAAATGAAGATAGGGAACCTCTGATTCTTCCATTTTGGGGTACTCCCCAGCCCCCCATTGAAATCTTGACAGGGTGGGCTGGTCCAGGGGTGTGCCAGCATATCCTCCCTGTCCCAGTCCTGGGACCAGGACGCATGCAGGACCCCACACTGAGCCCTGGCCCCATGGAAGCCTCTGCGGTGAGCCCTGGCCATAACCACAGCCTCTTCAAGAGCCAGAGAGAAAGGTGCTGGCTGGCTCTGCAGGATCATGTGGAACAGCACCAGGAGGAGGCCCCCACTTGCAGGGAACTTTCCTAAGCGCAGGAAAGGAAAGCACTCCAGGCCTTCACCCACGTGAGGATGCTGTGTCCGGTCCAGGCCCTCTTCCTAGCCCTGGGCCACTGTTACTAATCCCCAGCCTCAGTTTCTGAACCAGCCCCAGAAGACCATGCTTTAGGCGCTGAGGATTCAGTTCCGGTCCCAAGCCAATGAACACCTGGTTTCACAATTACCATCCCTCTCTGATTAGAAAAACAAAAGAAAGACATGGCAGAAGAAAGCCCTGCAGTGGGCAGGCACACTTGTCCTCAGGCCCCTGTGGGAGCTTACCTATCAGCTGGGGCCTGCCACCTGGACCTCCCTGAGTCTGTGACCCTCTGTGAGTGCTTGGCCTCCTTTCTGGTTTGCAGAGGAGCCCAGGGGCCAGAAACTCTGGCTCAGCTGCCCTGAGTCATCACAGCCCTACCCTGCAGCCAGAAAACAGAACTGTTGAATTCCAACCAAAGGACCTGAGAGTTCTGAGGCGTCAAAGAGGGCCTTCCTGGGCAGCCTTGCAGTGAGACTGGGAGAACAAAGTGAACCCAGGAGAAGAAAAGAAACCTTTGTTGGCACTTGGGGTGGAGGCCTATGCTGCCTCAGGGAGGCCTTGGCTCATCCACTGAGCCTTCCCAGAAGCAGCTTTGTCCAGGAGACTCCGGATACCTCACACGCTGACAGGTAGAAAGAGACTCGTTATGGGACTTCTGCAAGGCCTTTCCCCCAGTTTGTAGATCCAAGGGTCTCTGCCAGGTCTCACATGAGAACCACGTAGGGATGCTGCAGTCCTGAATGTGTGACACCTGCCATGGCTTCAGAGCAACCCAGGCAGCAGGCACAAGGGCAGCCAGTGTAGGAAGTGCTGCTACGTGACTGGCCAAGGACTGAAAAATGTTTAAGTGCATGATAGGTAAGGAAGGGGGGAGATTATTCCATTCATTCCGTTTTTCAGAATGAGAGTAAAAGTACATCCCTAATGATGCCCTAAAATGATGCCTGGTTTTCACTTGGAACTTATTAAAATGCAATGGTGGACTGACATTGGTGTTTTGGCAAAAGAGTCCCCAGGTGACTGTAGCATGCAGCCAGGGCTGGGAACATTCGTCTAGACATTCTGCACGGGCCCCACAGGCAGCGGAGCAGCTGAGCCACCCACGCTTTCCACCAACATAGCAAGCCACATTCAGATCCCACCGGCTTTGCCATCTGCCATCACCCTTCCTCTCAGAGAGGGGATGATTAGCGGGGTGGGATTAGCGGGGATGCTGAGCACAGCTGCATGTGGGGCTGGAAGCCCTGCCAGGTCTTAACTGCAAGTCTCCCATGTATCCATTCTGTCCTGAATGGGAACTTTCAAGCAGGCTGCTCCCCATGGCTCAGGGCCATGTGTGCCAAGTCCGGGAGGGCAGGGACTGCACCCTTAGGCACATCAGGACGCTCCAGACAAGACCATCCCTCTCACCCCTGCGGTGAGCTTGAATTTTAGCCTCATTTTCCAAGTGAGGAGTCAGGCCTGGCCTCCCTTCTCCTCAGACACAGCAAGGTGCATACACAGCACACTTGATTTCACTTCCCAGCAGACACTGTGCATTCCTAGACAGCTTCCCAACACACCCTGCCCCGTCCCCACTGGGGTGCCTTGCAACATCCGGGACCAGGAAGCACCTGGGATTCCCACTCAGGGTGCTCAGCTTCCTGGAACCCCTGAGAAGGTGTCATAGTCTTCACTGCCTCCCAGCCCAGGACATCAACCATAGCTCCCTCCTTCCCTGTTGCTGCCCTCCAAAATGCCACCCTACCGGCATCCTCTCCCTTCAGGTGGGGAGCTTTACATTCCGAACTCCTAGAAAACTTTGGAAGATTGCCTTTCTTCTAGATCCTTTGTCCTCTGTCAATGACTAGGGCGCCCTCTGCTCTGCAGGGAACTGCTTAGGTTCCATGGTGACTTCATATTGGTACTTCTTACTGCCTGCCTGTTGCTGGCTGAGGATGGCTCACCAGTCTGTCATGTCAGGCCTCTCCTGCCTCAGTTTCTGTGACTGGTCTGGTACTGTCAACGTGCTTGTGGACAGCCTGGTAGCCAAAAGGGTTAAAGAGGTCTCATGGGTCAAGAGGTACAGACAGACCAAAAGAATACCCTGTGTCTTTCATTTCTTCAAGCCCACAAGGCCATAAGGCAAGAGGCAGGGAGGCGTGGTTGCTAACACACCCGTCTGTGAACAAGAAGAGAGCAGTGGGAAGGACACCCTGTGTGGGGCAGATTCCAGCAGGCTAACACGTTGCAGGGATGGGGAAAGAAAGTTCAAGAGAAAAGATAGGAAAAGCAGGAGAGGCCATTTTATATAGTTGATCATTTTTAGGTGAAGAGGCAAAGACCAGGTTCTTGGGCAATGATTATAAACAGATCTTTCTATGCAAAATAGAGTTTTGATAGGACTTTACTGGAACTGATTGGCAGGAAGTGCGTCTCCTGATTATTAGGGTCTCTCTTCCTCCAAAGTTATATCTATCCATAACTTGACAAGTATTTATTGAGCATCTTCTAGTTGACAGCACTGTGTTAGTTACTGGGAATAAAACTTGTGAGCAAAACCAGGAATTTTCTTGGCCCAATGGAGAGGGGCTGGCTCTGAGGGTTTTCTTCTGATATGTCTTCCACGAGATGAATGAGTAGAGCTGACCAAGCTAGAATGAGAAGCTAAAGAGACAAACACACAAGCTGACATTCCGCACCGGCCAGAGAGGATCAGTGGCTCAAGATCACACAGTGTGGGAACTCAGGTCCTGGGATGCGGATTTCATGGCTCTTCCTGTGCTAAGGAGATCTTCGCTCATCTTTGCTCATTCTTCGCTGCAGGAGAAGGCAGTGGGTTTCAGTCCCCACGGTGGCAGAGGGAAGTCAAGGTGACTCCAGAACAGTGTGGTGTTTGTAGAGATATACATGGGGCAGAGGGCAGGCAGCTGGACCTGGGAGAGGACTTGAGCCTGGATGGAGGTAAGGATTGTGCATAAGGGAGCCAAAGGCTGAAACATTAAGGAATAGCCCCCAAGGCTTCAAGTTTCAACTCCTGGGATCTCTACTCCTGTAGCACTATCAGACCACCTCGTGTCCACTGTCAGAGGTAACTAAATTAAATAGCAGCACTGAGTGGAGATATCACATCACTAGCCGTTGTAGTGGCCTCCTCTCCCAGTTCAGCTATCACAGGCAATGTCCAGGCAAAGCCCTTTACCTGGCAGACCCCAGTCCCCTCACTGGATGCAAAATGAGCACACAAGCTGGTTCAGAGTTTTTCAGACTGAATCACCTGGACAGCTATGGAGATGGTAGCCCCAGGTCCACTTCAGAAGTTGGGTTCAGTGGGACTGGAATGAGGCTCACAAATGCCTGCTAAAAAATGCCTCCAGATGATTCTGGACTATTTCTTATCCTAAGCCACACTTGGACCAATCAGTTATCTCTGGATATTCCCACAGATTCCCTAAGAAGAAAACAACCAGCTGGCCAACCAAACCAAGGCAAAACACCACCACAACAAAACCAAGATTTCTTGGGCCAAGTACAGGAGAGGAAACAATTTCCCAGGGACCCCTGCCTGTTAGCGCAGGCTAGGCCAGCAGAAAAAGCTTGTGCTACCCTCACTGACCAGGCCAGCATAGTTAGGAAGGATGCGGGCCTATAGGAAACCCGTACAGCTAGCTACAGCAGTGTTCACGGCAGGGGTGGGGATGAAGGAATAGGGGGTGGGGTGGGGTGGGGAGTGCGTCGGGAACCAGACTCGGGAGATTCTTCATGATGGCATAACTAGCTGTCTGCCAGGCTTCTGACATCCCACCCCCTCCCTTGGCCTAGCTTAGGCACCTCAAACCCCAACCGGACCAAATTCCATTTGAATTTATTTGTACACCAGAGTAGAGTTCAGGGCCGAGTCCTGGAGACACATTGTGTCCTTCCAAATTCCAGGAGGTCAACAAGTGAAGGGACCAAACTGGGGCCCACGAGGCCAGGCAGCCACCCCCAGGTCTCAGTGTGTCTGTGTTTCACCTCAGTTTGTCTCTCTGCCTATGGGCCCTCTACCCCTTCTCAAACAAGAAAGACCTCACCTTTCAGGGGTTCCTTCTTCCTCCACAGTCTGCTTAGCCACCTGAGCACCTATCTCCTGCACTAAATTAGGGTTGCCCCATTTTTGTTTTCTAGGGTACCAGGTACATAACAGATATTCATCAAATTAAAAGTTAGAATCGAATGACACAGGACTAGTTCAAAGGACAGACATTATGTGTGGCTTATTGTTTTAGATAAATCACCAATGTAAAATACTATTGATTGCCAGTTTACTAATCATTCTGTAAATTAATATACTACAACATGTTCCAGCAATAAAAATAACAATAAACTATTCACAAATCAGTATAAGTTGACAGCTAAAGGAATCCCAAAGATAAATCACACATGCTGGAAACAGGAAGTGATGCTTAATGAGTTTCAAAGTGAGTAATACTCTACCTGATAAAACAGAGTTGGGGTGGACCTATTATTTTGGTAATCAGGGAAATAATTTCTTCCAGAAAGGCATACAAAGCCACGATTGTCGTATACACTGTAATCACGGTGGAAACACGACATGAGAACACAAGTTCCTCTGGGGTTTCATGTTTATTCCACAAAAGATAAGAGACAACTAGACACCTATAGGCGTTGTGGGAGGACAGAGTCATGTAGGAGGCTAGTTAAAGCTAGTTCTGTCCTGGATCTGAAGCAACTCCTGTCCGGGAGGGAAGTTAGGGGACACCAAGTTTTGACAGTTAATGATACCACCTGGAATCGACCAGGCTGAAGAAGGGGAGACCAGAAGACTGTCTCCTAAGATCCACTGGACAAGACTTCCAGAAACTTCTCAGAGGTGTAGCGGAGGAAAGACGACATAAACGGTGTCCTGTTCAGAAAGGGTGCCCAGGGTTGGAGATGTAATAAGGAGATACCTAATTTGTAAAAGGGGTGAGAAGTTTATGAATAAGAGGAACCAATGTCCTGAGATATTTATGACAAAATATGGGGAGGCTATAACAGAGAAAGAACAAATCAGAGAGAGAAAGGGCAGAGAGAGAGAGAGAGAGAGAGAGAGAGGGAGAGAGAGAGAGAGGAATGGGACTCTGGCGTAATGATGAGTTATTCAGTCGTGCCTCTGTCTTCCACAATAGTGTTGACAGTTTCCCATAATTAACCAGCCAAGTACCATTTACTGTGGTTGAAGGAAGAGCATCTGTTAACCTTGCCATGATCTTATTTAATCTTCACAACAAACCTAGGGTAAAAATGACTGCGGTGTACACTTTATAGAGGATGAAACTGAGGCCCCAGAATATTTTCTCACCCCTCTGCTGCAATAAGTGTTTTAGCTATGCAAATCGTAAGACGTCATGGAGCAAAATGCCTCCAGTGTGGCTCTGGTCTTGATCTCAGTCTTTGAGTGAGCTTCTCGTTCTCGTTCTCTCCTCTCCCTCTCTCTCTCTCTCTCTCTCTCCTCTCTCTTTTTTCTCTCTCTCTGATTTGTCTTATTTTAGAAAACCATTTCTTTAAGACCTGAGAGAAGTCCAGTACTCAAAAATGTTTACAACAAGACAGCATTTTAAAATAATACACAATGACATGTGGGTTGATTCTGAACATTCTATTCTCCCTTCCAGTTAAGGATGATGTGAAAATTAAGCAGTATAGTTTATTTTGCAAGCTAAGGTAGTGTGTAAGTCAGTGTTGGCATTGTCTGAGGTAAAGAAAAGTATTCTCTCTGTTTTAATTTGTTACAAAAGTCTCTGTGACAACCTGGAAAATGACCTGAAGGAGGATGTTGTTGCTTCATGGAGTAAATTGGTCAAGAATCATGGCAATAACAGAAACACACGCTTTGCCTGAACAAGCAACTGGGATCCAGGCCCATCTAAGCGAGGAAGCCTCAACTCTGTATGACTTTGACTTGAACCATACCACCATAAGGAAATTCCAAAAGAGCAGACCCTAACACCTAAATTGATGTGTATTTCAGTGACAGTCAGCGAAGGGCCAGAGGGTCATCTAAGGCCTGCCTCTCCACGGCTATTGACGTTTATGACAAAAGACCCTGAAGTGTTGTTTGCTGGAGCATCTTGACACCAAGGTGGAAGGGACGCCAGCGCACACACAGATAGGCTGCCTGTTATTCACAGAACCACCAACTCCCCAATATCTGTGGCACTTCCCCTGCTGTCACCCTGATTGACATCTCTCTTGTGAGGGAAGCAATTCTTCAACAATTTTATAATTTTCAATCAGAAATTCTACAAGCAGGAAAACGACCCTAAAATAACACTCCTAGGTATTTATCAAATAGAAAACATACATCCATATCAGATCATACACAAATGGTCACAGCAACCTCATTCATAATAGATTGTGAATCTTCTGTAATCCTAGGACACAGGAGGCTGAGGCAGGAGGATCACATGAGTTGGAGGTGATCATCAGTGAGCAAAAGGCCAGCCTGAACTACAAAGTGAGACCCTGTCTTAATAACAACAACAAAGGGGTCTGGGGATTTAGCTCAGCGGCATAAGAACCTGCCTTAGAAGCAGGCAGTCGTGAGTTTGATCCCCGGTACAGATTAAAAAAAAAAATCAAAACAAAAAGAGCTTACTTTTTCCTTGAATACCCACAAAGGATTGCATACTGGCACTGACGTGGACACTTTTAATTAGAAAGGACAAACATGATCAAGAGAGGACTGGGTATTCTCTGAAGCTTGCGGATGTCCAGGAAGCCCAAAGCACTCGCTGGCTCTGGATTTCCCAAGAGATGGACATTTGTCCATGACTAACATGTACTCACCAGTGGCAGGAGGTCCACCTTATAGGTCGGTGTTTTCTACTTTCTTCGGCCTTCATATCAAGATCCAAAAGTTCACTGACTGGCTTAGCAGCGTCAGATTGCTGAGGGCCAGGAGCCCAGCTCAGCAGTGTTACACACATTACTTCTTCATCCTCACAGTATGTTAAGATGGTAGGTTATGTCACAACCCACTTCATTGGTGAGGAAACCAGGCCCCACTGAGGTAAAGTAACTTTTGCTAAAGCCACATGACTGGTAAATCTTGGGCTACAGTTGAACTCACGTGGTCTGGTTACAGTGACAGGGGACACCATGCATAGGCGGAATGAATCACCTGGATTGGGTCTGACCTGGGCACGAGAGAAGTCCATCTGTGAGGACACACACTATAGGCTGCTCTGTCAACCAAGCCAAGCTTCGTTTCTTGTCCCACAGCTTGTGCCTCTCAGGAGCCAGATGACCCTAAAGCCCCCCTGGGATGCGCACAAGAGATGGGCTCTAACAGGGGAGTTCTTCTCTCAGCTGTTTACAAACCCCAGCTGAGCAGGTTCTGTCTACAGTCCTGTGGTGGACCACCAGAGGCCCCGTGGAGCGCAGGGGGAAGCGATTCCACTTCTTCTCCCAGCTACTAAGTGGCAAAGTCAGAGCCAAATAAACGTGGTCTTTTCTGACACCAGGTCTCGGCTCTAGTTTATAACTTCTCTAAGGTTAGAGAAATCAGCCATGGGGGAAATACTGTACAAGAAAGGAAGATCTTAGCCCCTTTTCCTTAAAGTAGGCATTTCTGGGTATAGCATTCAAGTACTGATGGGGCCAAAGGCTACTGGAGCAGCTGCCTCAGTCAGGCCACAAGTAAGTGGGAGAAAGGGCAATTAGGCTAAGGCCGTAATCAGTGGTTTATTCTGCACCAAAGTAGCAAAAGCTTACTGAGGCTCCACAGATGACGCAGGCCAAGAAATTCCCACGGGCCTAGGACGCCCTCCCCAGCTGGCAGCCACCCCACCCCACCCCACCCCCAGCACCAGAAGCTGGGAGCTCTCACACTTGGAACCACGGGACTCGGGAGTCAGACGAACTGGCCAGGAATCTGAGATGCCAGTGAGAAACTCATCTGGAAGTGAATCATGCACTGCTCTCAGGAAGTCCTCTGAACTTTGAGTGCACAAAGAAACCTATGCCTCTGGCCGCTGGGCCCATGCTCTCCACTGGCTCCACCGCACCTAGGGACACACGGTCTTTTCTGGGCCTTCCTGGGCAAGGCCAGAGTTTCCTCGGGCCGGCTCCTCTCCTTCCTGGAGTGCACGCCCAGACCGCGTTCCCTAAGGTCAGAACCCGCCGCGTGGTCAAGATGCGCGAGCACCACCCCCCACTAGAGAAACGCCACAAAGCCCGGCGCTCGCCCGCTGCAGCCGTTCGACCCTTTGCGCGGGCGATGCCGACCCCTGCTGGCCGCATGCGAGATCGCAGCGCGGCTGTCCCGGTGGAGAGGCGCACTCAGCCAGGCCCCGCGCGCGCGCGCGCGCGAGGAGGCGGTGGGCCTGGAGCCAGCTGGAGCAAGGCCCGGTCCGGGCAGCAGAGGCCCTGAATTCTAGTCTTGCAGCTTTTGCCCCCAGCGCTCCATGCCTCAGCCTCTCGGGTCTCAAATGCTTTGAGTTCCTCCTTATCCTAGGAAGCAGGGTGAGAAAGAAAACAAATAGGGTCTGCGGTTTGCAGATCTCTGGGCGACTCCCCTCCTACAGGGGTCTTCCTCAGGGCCAGTCAACTCCGAGCCTGAGCCTCGGAGCTGTGCTCAGTTAGCAGGAGGTTAGGACTCTGGACTGCTGGAAAATGGCCCCAGAGATAGCCAGGTCTTCATTGCTGAACCGTTGGAGATGACCTTAAATGTCGAGTGACTACAGTGAGGATCCTGAGGTCAAGGAAACTGTCCTGAGTTGCTCGAAGGTTTCTACATGTAATCACAAAGGGAAGCAAAGGGTGTTTAACTACAGAAGAGAAACCAAGCCATAGTACAAGGGGAGGGACAGAGGGAGGGAGAGAAGGAGAGAGGGAGAGAATAAATAAATACTAATTTACTTATTATAAATAATAATAGAGGGAGAGAGCGAAAGAGAATATATATTTCCTTGCTTCTGGCCCAGTGAAACTGATTTCACACTTCTGATCTCCAGAAGTATAAGAGAATTAATGTGTTAAATCATTAGGTTTGTGGCAATGTTTGTACAGTAGTAATGGAAAACAAATTCATGATTTTCTTTCCCCGAACTTTCACCTAGCTCTGAAAGCAGTTCATGAATAAGACAGACCCCCACATCCACCCCCAGGGAAGTTCATCTTCTGCTCCCAGATGGATCTTTCAAAGTAGCAAATGGCCAAATAGACAAAAAACAACAGGCCTTACTCAGAAGCTCATGTCGATTTTCCAGTGCAAGTCACTGCCCAATGTTGTGTCTGGTAAAAAGAAAAAAACACAATAAAAAAGCCAGAGTCACAAAAGACCCTTGAGAAAACTGCATGCTCGAGTTAATTCCTACACATGTCTACTTTGATGGGTCAGGAATAGCGACTGTATGGAAGTACTCCAAAGCTAAAGCTCGCAAAAAAAAATCAGGACAACAAAACTTCTTATGGTAAAAGATTCATTTTGGTGTCTGTGGCCTGCTAGATCTTCACCAGCTCAGGGCTCAGGGCTCAGGTCTTTCAAGAGATCCCAGCAGCTCCTGACCACAAACTAGGAGAGGGCACCTGGCTGAGAAGCGCCCCTCCACAGCATACCAGGATTTCCCTGCATGTGGACACCAGAGTCCTTTGGGAGCAACAGGAGGATGAGCCAACACTGTTGACACATTTTGCTTTGTCACCACAGGCCGCTAGGCTGGTGTCATACTCATTCACATCTAAATCAGAAGCATCGACGGTGCTGGTCATGTCTCAGCCTACCTTCTAGGCTGTTCCTAAGGCTCATGTGCTGCCTTTCCCTTCTCTTGTTACTCTCCGTGCTGCTCCTGGAGCATGCCAGGCACCAGCCTGCTCAGGGCCCCAGCATCATCTGGAGGCTTCTCCCTGGAGCCACATGGCTGTCTCCCACATGCGTTCTTCGGAGGCCTTCCCTTGCCACCTTCTAAAGACTAGCATCACCTGCACTCCACCGTGTACCCCTTCTCTGATCTTTCTCCAGGGAGCATATCACTTTGCCCTCTGTAGCCTTCATCTTGTCTTGTCTTGCAGCTACTCTAAAGCCTACATGGGAAAGGATTTATGTTTTAGGTTCACTACTGAGTCTCCAGTACCCAGAACAAGGCCTAAACCATAGATGATATTGTAACAGAAAATGCCCCCCTACCCCCAACCAGTACACTTCAGTCTCTTAGTTGCCCAGATAATAATTCCTGGTTCAAGTCCCTGTTACTTCTGTCTCTTAGAAAGGGCTGTGATGCATATTACAAGAATCAATCGAAGATGGCCAAGTACTCTGCCTCTGTACATCCCCTTTCAACTGCATAAAAATCTCCCACCCTGGGCCTTTGGGGCCTGATATTTTGGGAATGATCCTGATCAAAGCCCCTTGACATAAAATAAATCTGCCTCCAAATCCTAGGTGTTGTTTTAGTGTTTCTGCTTGCTATTGCAATATGATTAATAGATATAATATAGATAATAAGTATATATTTAACAATAATAAATAATATGTATTTAATAATAATATGGATCATAGACATATTGCATACTTGGATAAATTAATACTTTTCCTGGTGGAGGCACAAGCATACCTCTGTTAAATGATAAAGACTCTAGGGGCTGCTGGACGTGGTGGCACATACCTATAATCCCAGTACTAGGGAGATTGAGGCAAGAGGATCACTGCAAATTCAAGGCCAACCTGGGCTACAAAGTGAGCTCAAAACCAGTCTGAACTGCATTGTGAGACCCTGTCTCAAAAAGACAAAAAAAAAAAAAAAAAAAAAAAAAAAGACCCAAGGGGACCAGACTCTCCGTGGGAAAACTACATGGTCTTATATTGGGAAACTTGGCCTGGTTTACTCAACCTTGACTGAATCACTGCTAATCCCTCCAAGCATGGTACACACTGTTAACCCCAACAGCCCACATGCCCATCCATGTTCTCAAGAAGGGGCGCCTCTTCCCTCCTCGTGGGCTCCTGGAACACCTCAGGGTGGGTCTTTGGCTGGGAAGACAGGCCTCTGGCACATTCAAGCCTTGAGATATTGAAGCCAGATTTGTACGTGATATTTGTAGCACCTTTTCCGGGACTGCCTTGGAAAGCAAGAGGGGAAAACAGTCTAAGTACTACTTGGTAGATAAATGTTGAATAGCTTTTCAGGTCTCTAAGATGAGACAACATAGTTATGAAACTATATTGTTGACTACATTCAGAAGCCTTTTCCTTCAACTAATAAGTCTGAGTTTGTGTCTGTATAAAAATTGACTTCTCACATGGAAATTTAACCAAAAGAAGATTTTAAATCACACTCTTCCCAGGATATTAATGATGTTAATGTCACATTCTTCTAATGTTTACTCCAAGAAGGGGAAAATTTTGTCCAGATCTTGTTTGACATTTGAGTTCTAACACATCGAAACACAGTCTAGTCTTAAAACAGTCTCCTCTACCCACTTTAATTTAATTGCATTTCATTAGTCTACCTTCAACATTTTGGGGAGATCAGTTCTTTTCCCTAAAATTTGCTAGCAAAAGTAGAGCCTGGGATTGTAGGAGACCACCTTTGCTCTCTATTTCACCCTAGCAAGATCCAACACATCCCAACCTACTGACTAAGGCGGCTGCCTTTGGATTGAGAACACTGGTGAACGCGGCCAAAAAAGATAAGGATCCCAGGATGAGGAAGAAAGCTGTTGCTTCTTTCTTTTGGTGTTAGCTTTTTCTGGACAAAGCATTCTTTAAGAATGGAAGTTAAAGGCAATGAATTCCAGGTGAGAACTGGAAGTGAGCCCTTTGGTATCAATGATCAAAGTCAAATCAGGTCTTCCTGATAAAAGTATGTATCATCATAATCTTGTGTTTTCACTTTGTTTGGCCATCCCTATTGTCTGTTGCAATCTCCTTTTCAGTTGTGAAAGAAAATAGAAGCTGGACATGGTAGCACATACCGTAATTCTAGCACTTGGGAGGCTGAGGCAGGACAGTTGTGAGTTTGAGAACAGCCTGGGCTACAAAGTAAATTCAAGGCCACTCTGGCCTACGTAGCAAGACTCTGTGTCAAATATCCTCAACACGCCCCCCCCAAAAAAAAAACAAACAAGGAAGATAAAGGAAAAACCCCCATGCCACAACCCACACACTCTAGAAGTATACTCTATTTTCCACATAGTATTTGTAAATGTATGCAAAACATATATTGTTATATTATATGAAAAGACTCATATCTTTAAAAATATTTGCATTGCTACCATCTTTTAATGGCTACAAAGGAGATCAAGCAAAGAGATGGTTCTCTATTTATTTGATCTTATTAGCCATTAGTCTTTCTAATTCTTATAATCTTATGACAATTATATTGGTATGTGGGTTTTCCAAGTTATTTTCAAGATTTTCAGAATTAGGACATTTGAATCTGACAGCCATTTGATTTTGGCTTTCAAGAAGTCTATTGTCTTGTTCTCAAAGGCATATGATAATGCATAGCCTTAAAAGCAATATCTCATAATAAGTGTATTACAAGCATCACAGGGCACACACTCTTGTACTACCTCTTTTAATCTTCACAACAATCAATCTTGCAAAGCAGAAAGTATTAGTTTTATAGAAAAGAAAACTAAGACACAGGAAGTTAAATAAATTGTGTTAGATTTTTAAACACATGATTCACTTGGGGAAAGATGGTTTTGTCAATCAAAGGCGAATGCTGGGGGGAGAGCCTGAGTGGCCATAGTTACTCCCCAGCATTGTTACTGCTCCAGCAGAAGCCTTTATGCATCTGAATTGAGTGAGGGATGCAGGATGGGTGGTCCTTTGTCCCATCCAAGTGGCTCACATGCCTTCCCCATCAGCTTATCAGCCAGTTGTGTGTTGGTGTTAGTACAGTACCAGAACAGTATTCCTAGTCAATTAGGTCATGGTGGGTTAGAAATTTTAAGAACCAAGGCCTTACTAAACTTACATGTAGACTGTATTAAGTACTCAGAAAATAATTCAAAATGATCATTTTGCCCAAATGGACTCTTCAGTTACTAGAATTTCATCCTTCGAGTCCTGGTCTGGCTCCTTTAAGTCTCACTGCCCTTTATTTAGGTTCCTGCTCCAACCTACATGGCAGCCCAGCAAGTGAGGGGTAGAAGACAGTTTCCTGATGGGCAGGATCCGAGAAGGGAGAGACAGGGAGAGCTAATAAAGCAGCAGGAGGTGGGGAGGTGTGTCCAGCAGACTCCTGGCCGCATTCTAGGATAAACTGAGTCAAGAGCACACAGTTACTTCATCCAGTCCTCAGCTCCCCCAGTTCATTTCCTTCCATGGATTCTAACACTTTGGAAGAGTCTCCATTCAAAGACAGGAAGAAGCCCTCTCAAGGCAGCCCAACAGGGCTTCACCGTCCGAGTACCTTGGGTATTTCACCTGCAAGCCAAACTAAAGTGTGCTCTTGTTGCAACCATTTATATTTAAATTCATACTGCACTTGGGAAGGGATGAAGATAGTGGCCCCTGCTGGTGTTGCTATTCAGATTCATCCTCATGAACACAGAACCTTAGACGTGACACACTGAACATGGTTGCAGTTTGTGCATTTGGAAGGTAGGGACATCTCAATCAGCAAGGTTGATTTTGAGGCCAGGCATAGAGGCACACACCAGTAATCCCAGGACTCATGAGGATGAGGCAGGAGAATTGCTGTGAGTTAAAGACTAGCCTGCACTACACAGCCAGGCCCTTTCTCAAAACAAAACAGAACAAAGAAAAAAAGGTTGGTTTTGTCAATTTCTTGACAGGACTAGTCAAAGATGACTCTTTGTGGCTGGAGAAGACCACTTCTCTACTTCGCAGTTTTTTTAAAATGAGATTAGGATCCAGGTCTTTAAACATTATTAATGGGTTTGGAATACATCTAGTAGCCTCCAATTATGAACTCTTACCTCCTGGATTTGGACAGGTAAAGACCTATAGCAACTAACTGAAGCTAGATTATGAGGAAGCCAGAATGGATGGTCACAGGACAGTGAAATTTTTGTTTGTTACTGGTTTTGGAAACAGGATCTCACTGTGTAGTTTAGGCTGGCCTTGAACTTGTAGCCCTCAAACTTGTGGCAATCCTCCTGCCTCAGCATCCTGAGTCCTGGGATTACAGGCATTTGCCACTATGCCTGGCCTCAAAATCAACCTTCTGATTTTGAGATGTCCAGCAGTGTACCTTTCCCAATTCCTAAATGCACAAATTCCAAATGTCTTCAGTGTGTTGTTTCAAAGGTTCTGTATTCAT